CAGGGGGGTGGAATGGCGGGTGTCCATTCTCCCGGGGGGTCGTCTCGGGCCAGGCCGGTCCCAGCTCGGGGGCCACGTGCTCAGGCCACTCGTGGGGAGGCGGCGGCCGTCGAGGAGCATCGGGGCGGGGGGGTCGCGCCGGGGGGCCGCCGCCGCCAGCCAAACGCTCCTCTAAGTGGCCCAACCAGAGTGCCAAGGCGCTGCGGTCATCCAGGGTGGTGGCGGGGTGGATGAGGGCGTAGGAGAGGAGCTGCCGGCTCTCCTCCACACAGCGGTTGCTCTCGATGGCGTAAGCCAGGATTTTCTGCAGCCGCTTCATGTACTCGGCCTTGGCAGCAGCGTTCCCAGGCTGCAGGAGCGGGAGGTGGGCCAGGAGCAGGGCCACCGCCGCCTCCGCCGGCTCTTGCGGCCACTGGCTGATGGCGGCTGGAGATGGGAGGGGAGGGAGGAGAGGAAAGCAGTGATGAGGGGGGTGTCATCATCACTGCGCAGTTAGGAGGTGGGGGGCGGGGACTTGGGGGAGACAGAGTTAAACCTCCCTCCCCTCCCAGGGCTGGAACTGGGGGAGTAAAACTCTCCCAGGGCAAATACAGGGGCCTAAACTGGGGACAAAAACTCCTGGGGGGGTGGTCAGAACCCCTGGGGAAGATGGAGAACTCCTGAGCCACCCTAATTTATCCCAGGAATGCACAGGGAGACCAGACAGGGCACCCAGGAGGGGACCCCAGAGGTGCCTGTGGCCAAAGGGGGAGCCACAAGGTGAGGCAGGGAGCCCTGCGAGGTGCCCAGGGAGCTTTTAGGGTCCCCATAAAGCTCCCAAAGGGCACCCACGACCACGTGGGGAGCCCCTGGTGGGGGGTGGGATGATGTGTGGAGACCCACTGGGTGTGGTGAGAGCCCTTACAAGCTCTGGAAAGCTCCACAGGGCACCCAGGGAGCCCACCCATCCACCCAGGGGTCCCTGTGTAGCCCACCCATCCACCCAGGGAGCCCCAGGGGTTCACAAGGAGCCGGCCTGTCCACCCAGGCAGCCCACCCATCCACCCAGAGTGCCCTGGGGAGCCCCACAGAGCCCACCTGTCCACCCAGGGGTCCCCACAGAGCCCACCCATTCACCCAGGCAGTCCTGGGGCTGCCTGTGGAGCCTGCCTGTCTACCCAGGCAGCCCACCCATCCACCCAGGGAGCACCACAGAGCTCACCCGTCTACCCAGGGAGCCCCAGGGGTCCCAGAGGAGCCCCTCCACCCCGCGCCACTCACCAGCGCTGTTGGCCTCAGCCTCGAGGAGGTGGATGTCGGTGCAGTCGGCCAGCGAGTGCTCAAGGCAGAGCTGGAGGAAGCGGGCCTGGGTGCGGGTGACGCGCTTCAGCAGCGAGAGCAGGGCCACCGTCTGCTCACACTCGTTCCAGCCCTTGAACCACCCCGCCACGATCCCCACCTGATCCCGGAACATCATGGCGGTACCAGGGGGGTTCACGGTGGCGGCGGTGGGGAGAGGGGGGAGACGCGGGGGCAGCCGTGCCCCCCCCTCACATGGCGGCGATGTGGTGGCTGTAGTGGGGGCCCCCACGGGGGCTGGATGAGGAGTCGGTGCCCCCCTGGGCCAGGGCGGGCATGGAGGGGGGGGCACAAGGCCCCGACGGCTCGGGTCGGGCCCCCGCCCTGCGTTCCCGTGGTAAAGCCCCGGAGAGCCCTGCGGAGAGAGAAAATCGGGCGGTGTCAGGGCTGCCCCGCCCCCCTGCCACGGGACCAGGGATGCCCCCACGGGGACTGGCACCCCCCCAACCCACCGGTGGGGATGGGGAACCCCCCCATCGAGCGACCGGGAGCATCCCAGGGTGCCAGTTCGGCCCTGCCAGGAAAACCGGGGCCCCCCGGGGGTGCCTACCCCCTCCTCATCCCCCCACCCCGCCCAGACCGGGGAGACACGGCACTCGCTCGGGAAGGACGCAGGAGCCCTCGGATCGCCCTCCCGCTGCCCGGCGGTACCCGACGCCCTGGAAGAGGGGAACGGGGAAACGGCCGGGGGGAGCAACCGAAGGGGC